ACTCCTAGAAGTTTCCAGTCTGTGGCACACTTCCTATTGAAATATAGTGTTCCTATTGAAATATATTTCGTATTGAAAATAGTGAACAGATAAAGATGCATTCCGCATGCTGAGAACAGGTATGTTCCTCTGTTTTCTGCCCCAGTTTGACAGATCTTAACAGAAAGAACCTCCTGTGTCTGTGGCATTTCACACTGATTCTGCGATGATGAGGAGACTGTTGACAAGTAAATCCTCTCTGGCAGCCCCAGTAAGAGGCCTGTTTTTTTCTGGCTTCCTTCTGGGGCTCACAGAGCCCCGCAGAAGGTTTATGGGAGCAGTGTGTATCCTTCATAAGGAAGGATGATGTCATGCAAGCCATTACGTGTGTCCTGCCTCCAGAAGCTCCGTCATAAAGAGACAAACTTTTCTCCAAAATAAGTAGTTCCATGTGGCTGGCCTTGTCAAGCACAAAGCAAAACCTCAGCACCCTGAGACAGTTCAGCTGCCTTGCAGAAATATCTTTCGTGGCTCAACAAGAAGGTCAGAAAACACAACTCTCTTTTTGGTTTGGTTTTTTTGGTTGGTTGGTTGGTTGGTTGGTTGGTTTTTTTGTTGTTGTTGTTGGGTTTGGTTTTTTTTCTGAATGGCAAAAATGCTCTGGCTGTGATAAATTATCCACAACATTTAGAATGATTCAGTATAAACTCAAATTCTTTACTGAATGCTATGCAATATCAATTAACTCTAACAATCTTTTTAAAGGAAGGGAACTGTCCATCACTGTGAACTTACAAAATGCAATGATTGAGTCCAGAATGAATTCTGATAGCTTGGTTACCATTAGCTCCTCAGAGACACAGTGCTTAGTGGAAACACTGAAATAATCCTAATGGTAGTGTCAGAATAGTGCCAGTAAAGCAGAATGTGCTGTAGGCACAATGCAAGGCAGAATCGCTTTGGCTACTGCACACAGTAACTTCAAAGTTTCTAGAGAATTTGTGCATGCCTATTCCTTAGGCGAAGAAAGAACAACCTCTCTACATACCACTGACAATGGTTATCAGCTGTATTGTATTCCATTTTGCACGTGACAGGAGGTGCTGGGGAAATTGCAAATGTAGGAAGTCTTGCTGCAGAGCAATGAAGGCCCACTGGGGTTGTAGATGAGCAATTGTAAGGGCACAGGAAGAAGTGCACACAGTGCCCAGGGTGTTGGCAGAAGAAATCACTGCTTTTACATTTCTAGCTGTTCCTTCCCTATCTGCTCTCTTGGCAGATCTGGTCATGATGAGCTCTCCATAGAGTTATTACAATGAAAGAGCTTAGCAAAGGCTTCATACTTTAGGAGTTTACAAAAATCCTGCTGCTTTTGCCTGGATTGGGTGAGGAAGGGTTGACACAAGCAGCTGTGCTGGCACATCAGTGGGCCAGAGGGGATGGTGATAAAAGGCATCCTTCTTGCAGTTGTTCAGTTGGAGTCAGAAGATGACATCTGTCCATAACCTGGTGCTTTCAAATGACGGGCTGTATGATGTGACAAGTTATGTGACAGCATGACAGACTGTGACATTTCAGATTGCTGTGAGCAGCACTCTTTGTTTATGTTCACAAGTTGTATAAGAAAGCACAGCACTCCAAAAAAAAAGTGCCTCACAGACTTGCAAAGGGAAAATTCTTGCAAATGAAGAAAGGGGAGGGAAGAAACCATTTCAAAAGAAGTGGATAGAAAAAACAAATCTAGGGTTAACACTTCTTTACAGTTTAGCTTTATGTTTTGTTATCCCTGTTACAAAGCTAAGAATAATTCAGAATCATTTCTATAAAACTTCAGGATATAGAAGGAGAAATGGCTCTCCTATACCTCTTAGATTAGATTTCTTCAATGTGAAGTGAGACAAAATAAGCTGTATTTTATTTGGGCTTAAAGGTATAATAATTACCAGCTGATACACCAATTTAATGCAGGTGTTCAGAGTACTAAAAGATAAAGAGTTATAATAACTCAGAGTTACCTTTAAAAAGAGATCTGAGAATTTTCAAATTCAAGAAAACTGGAAAAAGAAAACCCCATTATATGAAAGGAATTGAAACTCTCAAATACAAAAAGTACACTAATTATGTTCCCAGAGACATGGATAGATTCCCCTGCCTGTTAGAGGTGAGAAATTAATGGGCATACAGGTCTGAAAATTTCAAAGTGAAATACTAAGAACACAGAGCACAGTTATTGCTAAATTCTTGCATACACATCTGCTGTATCAGCTAGATCTTAAAATGTTGAAGTTCAGCAGTCTGGCTGCTCCTTTCAGACCTATGTCTGGCTTCACCAAACATGGTGAAGCAGCCTATGTCTGGCTGCTCAAACATGCTTCAAACAGTCACATGAATGAAATTCAGAAAGGATTTTAGCCATGGCCAAAGATGAAATGTCAAAGTTATTAATTGGTTTCAGATTAGAAACCATGAAGACCAGTCACAATGAGAGATTAATGAGCATCCGTCCATCTTGGGCTGCAAACGAAGTGGGAAGGTTTCTGTATTTGTGCTAACATAGCTGTAGTTGTTCTTTGAGCTGTGGCCAGCCAATGCAAATTATTTGGCCAATGGAGACATTATACATTTTTTATTTTATGTTTAGATGGCAGATGACATTTTTGGTCAGTCGTGGAGAAGTCCCTACTGCATTTGCACTCAGGGATGCTTGGATTTTGGTGAATGCTTTTTCATCCCACATTCTTAGGACCTCTTGTCTTAAGCTGGTAATTTTTGGTGGTGTTAGTGGTGGAAGGCCACCAAGAATATCTGTGCACCTGCTCCTGGGAACTCCAAAGTTCATCCACCTCCTGCTCTCTTGTGGGCTGTGAGTTATACAGCTCCATTAGCTCTGTACACATGCTGACAGCTGAATTGCAGGGGAATTTACAGTTTCGTCAGGCTGCATGAATGAGTCTTGGCTTCTTGCTGGGACAGCAATCCCATGATCCCAGCCACCAGGATTGTAAGTAGCTTCATCACTGGCTAGCTGGCAGAGATAATAGATGAGAAAAGGTAGTTGAAAGCAGCTGGTCCTTGGCAAGATTGAAAAACATCAGGTGCAACTGCTATTGGCCCTACCTGAGTGTCATTGATGGAGCAAGGCTGCAGGGGCATTGCTGAAATGTGGGAATTATATTCTGTGCACACCATTTCCTGGCCCAGCCAGGAGCAAAGCCAAAACAATGACAAACAGCAATGCAGTCTTTTGCTAAAGTCATAGCTCTTAGAAGGCATCCAGAAAAGATGAATCCTGCTTTCCTGACTGTAACAATGCATACCTAATCTCAAACCATCTTTTCTTTTGCTGCCAAATTATAAACAAAGCCCTCTGACTTCTGGGAGAAGAGTGTGCAGAGCACCAGGCTCAATATTTGATGGACATGTGAAAGCCTTCACTCGCTGTAGTGCTGTAGCAGAAGAGGAATGAGACAGGAATGGTGCAGGCAGGGTGTCCTTGCACAGGGAATGTGGCCATGACAGGTCCCTCGGGAGTTTGAGCCAAGGTGTGCGACTGTCCAGCCACACCAGCACCACCACAGGGAACAAACTGGGATGTTAAACTCCTCTCACTGCATAGCTGATTCAGCTCCTGCACTGTCTTCATGCAAGGAAATAATACATTTCTCCCCTGAAATTATTTTGTATTTCCCTGAAGGGTTCTTAAAATATCCATGACGCTAAGAGTAAAGGAAAAACTGCTGGAGTTTGGTCCTGCTGAGGCTAAGATAACAATGTGAAGGATATGAGGCAAGGTACCATTTCATTGTGCTTTACTAGTGCTTGTAATTTACATCTCATCATTTTCAAGGCCTCTGCTGGCAATATTTCCTTCTAAGAATAGAGCTTTAAGGTATTTTAAGAATTCTAGTTGTTGTGCAATTAATCGGGTAACACTTTGTTCTAAGAGAAAAGATCTGCTGTTTTGAGCAGTAACAGTATTTTGCATGTAAAAAAGGGGGAATGGGGAATGTTTTATTGCCAGCACTTTTCCTTACAGGAGGATGAATCACTTACATTCTTGGCAACCAAGATTAAATTCACAAGAATGCTCAGTTTGATCAACTTCCTTCAAAACACTAAGCTCAAAGTACAGAGGAAAAAAGAGAGAAAGAAACTTGGATGGGCTTGGATGTGGAAGACATTACAAGATGGACATCCAAGCAGGAAGACAATAAATCTAGTGTACAAATTGTTTTGCCCAAAGCAAATCGCTGACTTGCTGTTACAAGAGGGTCCAGTCTAAATTAAGAGGGTACTGGAAGGGAAAAATAAAACAAGGAGGAAAAGAGCCAGAGCAGAGAAAGAAAACCCCTGCCGATCTGGCAGACATGGCGGATGTTGTGTCAAATATGAGTTTATTTGCTAACAAAACAATGTGAATTTTCATGAAAAATTACCACCCTTTCCTTCAGAGTGGAAGATTGTGCTGAGAAATAAAATATGAGAATACAGTTGGTTTAGGTGCAAGGAAAGTGCCTATGTTCAGGCTGTTGTTTCACACAGCAAAGGCTGAGGGTCATGGGGGGACTTCTTAGGCAGGAGAAGGGTGAAACAAGCAATGCCCTCATTGCTCTTCTTCACCTGTGCAGTGGAGCCCACTGAGGAAGGGGTGGCACTGAAAATGGTCCTTTTTAGTTTTATTCTAATGGATTCTTTTTAAGCTGGATTTGTTGCCTGGCCTGGTTCACCAAGCAGCCACCTGTGGCATTGCACAATATACCCAAGTGTTGGTGGAGGAGATGACAAGAGTAAGGGGACATGGCAGAGGAGGAACGAAGAAGCTGACAGGCACTGCTGCTGTGCCATCTCATTCGTGATCTTCTACACAGCACTGGTCTAAGGGACATTTGGCCCTGCTACACCCTTCTGCTCAGAGACAGCGGCAGCTTCAATGAGACCAGCACAATTGCTTGTTGGCTGAAATAAAAACAACCCAAGCAAAACCCAAAACATTATTTAGTGTGGAATTTCCCTTTTTCTAGATCATCCTGTGGTCATGCAAACAGCTGTGTCAGTATAAAAGCATGACAGTGAGGAGTGGTGGAAGACAAGAAGAGAAGTACTGCTGCCTAGTACTTTTTGATTTCCCCCTGCTCTTCACCCCAGTGCTCTGCCACCCCTCACCTGCAGTGCTGGGGTGCACACAGGGGCTGCAGCACCTCCAGATGATTAAGGTAAGTGTGACTGTGTCGTGCATGTCCTGCAGCCAGCACAAGGCTGCTGTGCTTCTGTTCAGGATGTCCTCCCAAAATACATTTGGTACTTACTGAACCTAATATGGGGGGAAAAAAATTGGGGAAGAATGAGAAGGTAGAGGCCTAGGAGAGCTGGGCTAGATCACAAAGCATAACTGTAACTCAAAGCAGGACCCAAGATACTGCAGAAGTGTTGGTGTCTAATAACTTCAGCATCACACAATTGTTGTTGTGTGTCTTCAGGATCCCAGTTTCAGTATGTTTCTCACTTCTATCATGCTCTGCAGTGCCGATGTAGTGCATCCAGTGCTGCTCTCTGATCCTGTAATCAGGTATGTTGCTTATATGTAGTAAATCCCACACTTCTGGGATACTGAATGTACTGTGTATTCACCAGGCAACCACATCCCATTCATAGAATAAGATCAGTGCTTCCTGGTCTGGTTTCCTGCAAACAGATTGTACAATAGGTCAGCACAGGTCCTGGGGATATGTCCAGGTTTTCCACATGTGTAGCCTTCCTATCCAAGCTGCAGTACAGACAATCCTCAAACATCTGTGCAGGAAAATTTTCTGGGCAGGAAAATATATCTAGCAAATCTGGACGGAGCATAGCACCAAGTCAGAGCCTCCAACACATCATGAAGCACTGGACCAAGCTCCCAAAGAGAAATGTGAGGAATCTTTGCACTGGCATTTTTGAGACTAGAAAAATATCTGCCATGGTGAAGTCAGCCTAAACTAGACCCTTCACAGCCTTATTTCTTGTAAGAAGCTACGAGTTTGACTCTCTGCAGCATAAAGAATGGCAAGCACAGTCTGTTCTCTGCTGTGCAACCTGCTCTCTCCTTCTCCAGCCTCTTGCTGGAATCAGTGTGAAACCCAGTGCACACACTTGGGGCTGGACACAGAAAAGGGAGATTTGTATGCAATGAGTCTGTGTATTCATGCATGAGAGAAACTGTGGCAGCAATGGTGTTCCCTCATAGTAATGCAGAGCAAGACGGAAATGGGATGAAGTTTTTTTCAGGATTAAAATAAGCAGAACAAGAGCCAATTGTTGTTTTGGGGAAGAGGAAAGCAGTTGATGTCAAAATGTTTCACCGACTTGGCAAAAATGCCAAGCTGGCCCTGCCTGCAGAATACAAGGACTTCAAAGGGCTTATCTTGAATAAGAATTGAGGGAGCCAGATCACTGTTTCCTACATGAATTCAGCTGAGGTTAAATGATATGCAAGGCTATATCCCAAGGGTGTGTTTTTCTGCTGATGCCAGCCAAGTTGCTGACATCTCTACCTGCAGGTTTGTGGGATCAGTCTTGCTTTAGCTGCCTACAACCAGAGGGAGCTCAGTTCTGACATAGCACCAGGAAGAGTGGGTCACACTCTCACAACTTGTCACTTCAGGAGCGCTGGTCCACAATGGGAACACTGAAACAGATGGTGAGGCCCTTGCTCCAGCGGTGAGCCAGTACTCAGGAGGGGCGTGTGGTTCTTAAACAGGATGCAGGCTGAATAACCCTCCATTCCTGAAGAGGGTGGTCCCCAAAGGTCAGGGCTGCCTTCAATGGTGTGGCAGCATGAGAGGAAACTGCCTCAGAGGGTGCTTTCATAATGCTCAGACTATGAATAAATTCAGCCTGTTGTACTCTGGGTTCCCAAGTGTTACTCATTAAAAATGTGAATAAGGAGAATAAGGTTAGGAAAAGAACAATTCTCCAGCTAAACTTTCCTTACAGAATGAACAGGGGTCCTCCTCCCCCCCACCCTTTGTCTGATTTCAAAGAGCTTTGCATCCAGTGCAGGAGTTCTCTTTGCTGCCTGGGAGGAACATATGGATTGTAGATGACACAAGCCTGGAAGTGCTTAGCTCACTGAGTAACAGAATACCTGGGGTTGGAAGGGGCCTCTTGATGTGATCTAGTGCAAACCTCTGCTTAAGCAGGGCCACCTACAGCAGGTTTCTCAGGACCACGTCCTGTCAGATTTTGCAAATCCCCACTTATGGAGGCTTCGCAGCCTCTCTGGGCAACTGAACAGACAGGCAATGACCAAAGACCTGATGTCAGTACAGATCATTTTGACACTTCTTACCTTTATGGTAAATTATAAAAGTATAACCTGAATAAACGTACTTGATATTCATTCATTGACTCTGGTTCTGGTGAGACTGGGTATAAAATTATGTGGACCAAGGCTGATCCATACTTAACCCAGTTGCATAATTCTGGGAAAAACGCAGTCAAAGAAACAGTTAGGTTCTGCATGGGATTAACATACTGTGGTCCCATGGGAACTCTCCCAGTTCATGACAGGAGCAGCCATTCCTCCAGTCATTGCTGTGCTAATTTAGTGGAAGGAGGACCAAGGGTCTCTGAACCTGTTAAAACAATAAATCCAGAAAAACAATGAAAGTTTTCCATCCTTTAAAACAGAGTTTTCTAAGAATATTTGTCCCTTAAATTCCAGAAGATGAGGGAACAGATAGGGTCACGCTTTCTGTTCTCATGCTTCAGAGCCAACACTTTACCCTGACCATCACTGTTACCAAGGCAGCATCACAGTTCTGGCAGGAGATCTTATCTGAAATCTTAACAGAGGCACATTTAGGCTATTCAAGACAGTTTTATATTGCTCAAGCTTAAGTCAGTGAAATGTTTCATTCAATTAGCGAGCAAACAGAGTCTGTCAATTTCCTCTGTGCAATGCACAGAAATCTGTCTGCTTCCTCCCCGAGTACAGTACAGCATGTCTGAGCCACTGGCTACTAGCTACTATAATTAGGATGGGGAAACATTTATGTGGCTCTATAAAGGTGAACCGGGTGTTTTGCATGTACAAAACCTTTTAAGTCATTCCCAAATAATTCAGAGTCAAACATGGTCAAGAAAAAAACATAAGGCAATTGTCTCCAGGGAAAAATGGATCCTGTAGAGATGAAGAATCACCCTGGCAGTAGGTTTGAATGGAGAAGGAAACTCCTGGGCTGAATGACTGGATGTCACTCAGAAACACTGTGGTTTCTTTCCTAATCTACCACGGACCTTGTAGGTGACCTTTAGGAATCATGGGTTCTGTGCATGAGTTCTCCCTGTAAAACTGACATTACTTCAACTCACTCAGTTTCCAAAATAAAAACAGAGGCTGGGAGAAGACAAGAGCTACTGTAGTAGGGTAGTATCAGGAGGCACTCAGGAAGGAAGAGAGAACAGAAAGAAAAGGAAAACCTCTGAAGAGTGAGGAGTCAAGGAGCCAATGGCAAGAATAAGAAATGATATGGAATCCTTCAAGTATAGGGGAGGAGAAGGTAGATTAACAAATTTTTGGTTAGGCTGAAGGGAGAACAGAAAACCTGAAAGAGAAGCTGTCAGTGAATTACAGTAGCTGAAACAGGTAATGGCCAGAGCATAGAGAAGAACTGTAGTCATGGTGATAGAAAAGCAAGGACCACTTCAAGAAGTACTGAGACAGATTAGGCTTTTCATGAGAGACCAGTGATGTGAAATAAAAGGAAAAAAGATTAAAAAACCCTCCCTGAACTCAGAAAAAAATGCAAGAAGTACAGAAATCAGATTTGAAAGAGCTGATACTTTTGTATCAAACAAAATCAATTTGAGGCAGAATTAATATGTAACAGTAGCAAAAGCTTTGGGAGAAGAACTTTTAAAAGCCACAGGGATCTACAACTGGATTGTCATGGACTGAATAGAAGGTAATTTTCCTTCTAGAAAGGTGCAGACAGAAATGATCAGGTGCAATCAGGGGAGAAGCATGGAATGATCAGAAGTGCCATGTTTCAGGAACCATCAGACAAAAATCTCCAACTACATATTCTGTGTCACCCACTCTGGGCAAACGTCTCCCCTCATTTGTCAAGATGAGGATTCAGTGTGAGGTTTCAAATGGTTATGAGGAGCAGCAGTAACTGAAATTCCAAATGGCCAAGAAAACACTTGCATATGAACACAGTCTTTGCTTGCATTTCACAACATTGCATCAGGCTTAAAAAGTAATCTCCAAATTTGCACACCCATATCACTGTGTACACAGAGAATGGCCAAACAGACCTGGTGTGCATTGAAATTCATGTCGTAGTCAGAGCCTGCTCTCTCCCTCCATATGCACCTTGGGCTTGACACTGCAGAGAGCATTTGAGCATCTGGACTTATATGTGAATCTCTGAGAACTGGAAAATAGACAGAAGAACAATTTGACTGCTCTCGTTAGGCTAAAGGGAGTATAAAGGAGCATGCTGAGAAACTGTACATTAATTGTAGTACTTGAAGCAAAAAATGGCCAGAGCACAGAGTAGACTTTTAAAAAGGGAAAAAAAGGAAGACCCAGGAATTACAGGCATGTCAGTCTCATCTCTATGCCCAGCAAGATCACAGAGCAGATCCTCCTGGGAAGTATGCTAAGGCACATGGAAAATGAGGTGGTTGGTGGCAGCTAACATGGTTTCACTAAGAGCAAATCGTGCCTGACAAGTTTGGTGGCCTTCCACAACAGGGTTACAACAGTAGTGGATAAAGGAAGAGCAACAGACGTGATCTACCCAGATTTGTGCAAGACATTTAATATTGTCCCATATGACATCCTCATTTCTAAAATGGAGAGACCTGGATTTGATGCGTGGACCACTTAATGGATTGGGAATTGGCTGAATGGTCACACTCAAAGAGTTACAGTCAACAGCTTAATGTCCAAAGGGAGACAAATTACAAGTGGCATTCCTCAGGGATTGGTGACTCCTGCTGTTTAACAGCTTTGTCAGTGATGTGGCATAGAGAGCACCCTCAGCAATTTTGCCAGTGATACCAAGTTGTGTAGTGCAATTGACATGCTGGAGAGATGGGATGTTATTCAGAGAAATCCTGATAGGCTTGAGAGGTGGGCCCATGTGAACTGCCTGAAGTTCAAAAAGGCCAAGTGTAAAGGTCGTGCACCTGGGTCAGGGCAATCCCAAGCACAAATACAGGCTGGATGGAGGATGGATTGAGAGCAGCACTGAGCAGAAGGACTTAGGGGTGCTGGCTGACAAGCAGCTGGGAGTGTTTTGGCAATGTGCTCTCCCAGCCCAGAAAGCCAAATGCATCCTGGGCTGCATCCAAAGCAGTGTGGGCAGCAGGGTGAGGGAGGGGATTCTGCCCCTCTGCTCTGCTCTGCTCTGCTGAGACCCCACCTGCAGTGCTGCATCAGCTCTGGGGGCCCCAGTGTAACAATGGAGTGGGTCCATTGGAAGATCATGAAGAAGATGATCAGAGAACTGTAGTGCCTCTCCTACAGAGACAGCTTGTTGAAGTTGGGATTCTTCAGCCTGGAAAAGAGAAGGCTCTAGAGAGACCTTAGAGTAGGCTTCTGGTACCTGAAGGGAGCCACATGAAAGCTGGAGAGACTTTTTATGAAGGCATGTAATGACAGAACAAAGGGGAGTAGCTTTAAACTGACAGAGGGCAAATTCAGATTAGATATTAGGAAGAATTTCTTCCCTGTGACACTGGTGAAGCACTGCCATAGGTTGCTCAGAGAAGCTGTGGATGCTCCATCCGTAGAAGTGTTAAAGGCCGGGCTGGATGAGGCTTGGAGCAACGTGGTCTAGTGGAAGGTGTCCCTGTCTCAATAGCAGGGAGTTGGAACTAGATGACCTTTAAGGTCCCTTGCAACCCAAACTATTCTATAATTCTATGATTTGTAAACATGGGGATAGAAAAGCAAGGGCCACTCAAGTTGTTTTGCATGCTGTCATGAGATGCTGCTTTAAAACAACTGGTTGTGAGTTCTGTGTTTCTATTCACTTTGATTTACAGTATAACAATATTCCTATTCACATGTTTATCACATTCCAAGACTTAAGGAAAAATTTATTCATTTAAATTACAGAGTCATTATAACCAAAATCTTTATTTTAATTATTTGCAAATCACATATTATGCTGCCTACAGTTTACTGACTGATGATGAATAAAAGCTACCCCCTAACATTCAGAGGCTTTCTTCTTTAATCCTGGAGTTTTTATGAGCTCTAGCAGAGTAAGTAAAGGTAACTTTACAGGCAAAGACTGAAAGAAAGTAGCTAGAAAATTGAAAGCATGTTTAGGACTGCTGTGATGTTTTTTAGACATGGAACTTTTTCCTGAAGTGAGCTAAAAGCAGTGGCTGGTGTGGGAAGTTAATTCAAAATAGATGTGGGTTGAAAGACTGTGTGGAAGACTAGGAGACACACAGTGATAATGATAGTCATCAAACAGGAACACGTGGTGAAGCATTTTTGAAGGGACAACTCTTTCAGTTTCTATGCTGTTTTCATGTATAATATTCTGTGATGATACTCTAGTAAAGCATTATGGAGAGCTGAGGATTTTTCAGTCTCCTACTGTGGTGGATTGACCCTGACTGGATGCCTGGTGCCCACCAAAGCCGATTTTATTGCTCCCCTTCTCAGCTGGATAAGGGAAAGAAAATATAACAAAAAGCTCACGGGTTGAGTTAAGGACAGGGAGACAAGGAACTCACCAATTACAATCATGGGCAAAACAAACTCAATTTGGGGAATATGAATTTATTATTAATCAAATCAGAGTGGTATAATAAGAATAAAAGCTAATTCTTAAAATACCTTTCTCCCACTCCTTCCATCCTGAATTCTCTGCCTCCTCCCCCACAGTGGTGCAGGGGGACAGGGAATGGGGGCTGCAGTCAGTTCATCACATGTGTCTCTGCTGCTTCTTCCTCCTCAGGAGGAGGCTTGTCACATTCCTCCCCTGCTCCAGTGTGAGGTCTCTTCCACAGGAGACAATTCTCCATTAAATTCTTCAACGTCAATCCTTCCCACAGGCTGCAGTTCTTCACTGACTTCTCCAACATGGGTCCCCCACGGTGTCACAGGTCCTGTCAGCAAACCTACTCTAGCATAGGTTCCTCTCTCCACAGGTTCATCAGTCCTGCCAGAAGCCTGCTCCAGCATGGGTTTCCACATGGGGTCACAGACTCCTTCAGGCATTCCCCCTGTTCTGGTCTGAGCTCTTCCATGGCTGCAGGTGGATCTGCTCCTCTCTGGGCCTCCAGGGGCACAGCTGCCTCACCACAGTCTGCACCAGAGGCTGCAGGGGAACCTCAGCTCCAGTGCCTGAAGCAACTCCTATCCCTCCTTCACTGAACTGCAGTGGTGCTGCTCTCATGTTTTCTCACTCTTTCTGGCTGCTGCTGTGCACCTTTTTTCCACCTCATTTTAAGTCTGTTATCTCAGAGGCATTACCGGTATCCCTGATGGGCTCACCCTTGGCCAATAGTGGGTGGGTCCATCTTGGAGCCAGCTGGCACTGGCTCTGTTGGACATGGGGGCAGCTTCTCGAAGCTTCTCAGAGAAGCCACCCCTGTAGTCCCCCACTATCAAAACCTTGCTATGCAAACCTAATAGACCTACACAGGAGTCCTGTCTGAATTTTCCCCAACAACTTTTTAGGAGCTGTAATCCTGAACCCAATTTCAATAAAACTTCCTCTTTTATATGGATGTAT